AAACAACAGCAAAGTGGTGCTCCGGTTCCCCTCAAGAGCCTCCACTGTAACAAGAATCAACAAGCTGTATGAACGAGAGTGAGAGGCTACAATCATGGCACAGTTGGGACCACTGACAGTATGACATATCAGCAGCAAACCATGACTATTAGAGCTTGGCCTTTGGTTCAGGCCATAAGTGTCAAAAGCGAGAAAAAAACCTCTACAAAAATGCTAATTTATGATAGCGCCCCTGAGGGATTCTTGTAGTATGTTAGCATTAAGCTAATCGTGATCTGCATGAACATTTTCTGGTCATTCTAGATTTAAAGGTGCCATAGAATGAAAAACTGTATTTACATTGGCAGAGTTGAATAAGGAGAGCTCGGTACATGGAACTGACATCCCATGATCTTTAAGCACTGTTGAATTCTCCTTCAAATGGAAATCCCTCATTTGCAAAAGAGGGAGGTAAAACAGGCCAACTGTTATGTAATAGTCTTGACTCTAGCCCATGTTCTAGCCCAGCGAAACAAAGACAACGGAGCAAAAGGAATGAAAATGGAGGTTATGTGCCGAAAATGTACCATTCAAGGCTGTGAAGGGGATGTCGACACTTTTCATATCCTTCCCATGGAACCGTGAATGGCATGGTTGATGTTCATCTTTAGATGAGGCTGAAGTTGGCTTCATATTTGCCAGCTTATTAATCGAATGTTCCATTCCCATTTAAATGCTGCAGCTTGTACAGTTGCCAGAATGTAACCGCTGCACCATTTAAGGTGGAACGGAAAGTTCGCGAAACAAGCTAGCAAATAGGAACTTCAGCTGCCACATCTTTAGCAGAATCCCAGGCAACTTTAATCCAAAGTTGTTAGTTTGCTCTGTACATTTCACTCCGGACCATTTCTCAAACCTCGGACAATAACAAGCAGCTTCAGTCAGCATTTGAAAGTGAACAGACTGGAGGCCTAATTTTATTAGCATCACAACCTCAACCATAACCTGTAAGTAGCAGCCATGCTGTGTGACTTTATAACTTTGATTTACTTTGTGTTGTTGTCAAGATGAAAACTAAGTAGCTAGTATAGGTAACGTTAGCCACTAGCAAGCTCCAAGAAACTAGCATAGCTAACTAAATGGCATGATGACCTAGCTTATTTACATGGAAGTTAATTTTATTTTCCTGCCTGTGTCATTTCAACATGTTGCTTCTGTGTGAGCCATTGCGGTGCCTCTTGCTTCAGTGGTGCAGCTTGTTTCAGTCTAGAGCCAAATCATAGAGATGTGAAAGACCACAGCTTTCCCCCTGGGCAAAGTCACATACCTTCTATGTAGACATCAGAGAACAATGTAACATGCTGAATAAATGCATTTTATGGCACCTTTAACACGAAGAGTTTGAAGCATGTAAATCTGGATAGACTTCATTTCCAATTCACCACCAGTGACGTATCTAGAACTTCTAGAAGGCCTAGAGGGACAGTTCTTCTTTAAAACCTGGCCACACCCATTGTAAATCAAAATGTGATTGGCTGATTTCATTGTCAGTTCCTAATTATGTCAGTGGTTAATCTGACACATTAGGTATCTGTTTCAATACTGGTTTTGTTTTTGTTACTGTGTCTTTAAAACTAATATATGTAAATGAGCTCTGTTCCAACTGGCCTTTAACCCTCTGGGCCATTTCCCCTCGGGAGAACACCTGACACCATTTTAAGGGTTGTTCCATTACTTAGTAGCTCGAGTGAAGGGTGTTAGATGAGCCTGAGTGAACACCAGCATCGACTTCAGCTGCAGAATTCATTAAGAAATCATTGAGAACCGTTGCATCTCTTTTCAAACCCAAAAATAATGGCATTGAAAGCTGTTTATAAACCATAGAAGTATTTTTTTTAAAAGCTTAACATTTCAAAATAATAACATTCAGGTTTAGGTTATAAATATATCTCCTCTACACAACTGTTGATACAACTTTCTTCCGCTAGCTGGCTAGTTAGCATGCTAAAGCCTACATGGCTAACAAAAAGAAAGGCTCTACATCACTGTTCTATTCAAGTTTAAAGCCAGACAAAGCAATTACTCACAAACGCCATGTGCTTTATGCTCAAGCTTCTCAGAAAAAGTCATTGCAAAGTTTGCATGTCTAGCCGATTAGCTCACTGAAGCTAACCTGCTGCAGGCGACTGCATAATCCGCTCCTCACTGTCTCCTTCTGCCATGAGTGGCTACTTGTGTAACATAGGTGTGATGCACAACCAGAGGACAAGCTAAAAAGAGAATTGAAACAGGGCCTAGACCTTCAGTTCAGCTCCTGAAGTCCTAGACAAAGGGAGAGCTGTCCTGATTGGATCATTTTCCACTGGGCATTTTGAGAATTGAACCCCTTTGTTTTAAAACCAAAACTTAACAATGAAGTAAGAGTATTACCTCAGTGCTTATAGAGTTTAAATAATACAACCATGATGATTCTGTTAAACACAAAAAGAACAAAAAATGACAGACTTTGAAGGACTAAAAGGTTCTGAGGCTTCCCTACAGTTGTATATGATATATACAATCACTGGATGGAACATGCAACCACTGTTGCTCTCACTAAATGTCGGTGATGAAAATGAACTGTATTCGTATTATAGAAATCATGTGATTTTTATATTCATGTAACCCTACATTCACTGGATGAAAATAATGTTACTGTAATAATACATAATAAACAGTAATAATTACATTCTATATAGGTAGAACAAAAATAAACCAATTTTTAAATAGAAAAATTATTCTTTAAGTTTAAATCTGAGCGAATAAGACAAATGTGATGTCTTGGCCATGATAAGCAGCAACACATTGTTCCCAAAAAGACAAGCAACACTTTACAAATACAAGACATTGATTAATAATAAGAGGCAATTATTTATTTATTTATTTATTTATTTGTCTATCAGTCATACTGATTAATTCAGCTGGTGCGTTTAAGAACACGATTTCAGTACATGGACCTGTCTACACACACACACACACACACACACACACACACACACACACACACTAATAATCCACTCTTTGATTAAGCCGATGTTGCTGGATCAATTGAGGTGCTCATCAGGTGTGTGATCAGACAGATGCAGCATGTGTTTCCCAGCAGCCCTCCAGTTTCACTCACACTCTGCACACACTCCCACTGCACCCCAGAGGAATGTGAGTGTGTGTCTGTGTGGCATGTGGCAAATCTTGTTGAGTAATGAGATCAGTGCCTTTTCTGTGTAATGAGTCTCCTGACTGTGCTTACATGTGCAAACTTACTGCAAGCACACATTACAACACGCAGAAATTATTTTAAGGTTAAGCTGTATAACGTAATGAAGAAATCATTCAATCACAAAGCTTACTGCTTTCAAACACATGCACACACAATAGCGCCGTCTTTCTACAGTTTCCTGAACCTACACCAGTACGAGATCATCTAAAGGACCTGGATGGGATTCAGGGCTGTATGTAAACTTTTTGAGTAGGTAGAACTGGAGCTTGAAAAGTTTTAAATTAGAAGATTGTATCACTGAGAAGTCTCGAGGAGCCATACATAGACATGGGGGTACAAATGTAGACAAAAACATCTAAACCAATCTATGCTTTGTGAATGCGGCCCTCAAAGCGAGGGGTGATTGAACACTCGTTAACAAACCTGTCATTAGTGCATAGGTGTGATGTAAGTAAGCATAGCTGAAAATTCCCCCCAGAAAGCTCCAGCTAGGCATGTGTCATATGTACAGAGAACACATTACATGCAATAAAAATAAACTTTACCTCTTGCAAGGGAAAACAGTTCTGTTAGCTAACGATAGCATTTCACTAGGTTTTAGCTTATTTTACTTGTGTTATCAATTGTACTCCAGACAGGAGCACAGACTTGAAGCATTTGGGGGAGGGCTTTAGAGGGCCATACCCTTCTTTACGACAGATTTCGTCACAGTCCAGCACCAGAAATTCTACAGGTCGACCCCCTAGATGTGCACTCTCATTATGAGATCAATCTGGCCCCACAAGACTATTCTGTGGTGAGTCCTGGAATTTAACATCAGATTCTTTCACTCCTTTAAAACACTGAAGATGTACTTGGGGAAAAGGGCCTGTTTACACAATAACAACCACCTGCAGTTAAAACTGGGGGAACTGCTGATAGGGTGCCAGTGTAATACTGTTACTTTAATCAATCACACAGCGGAATGAATTATTCAGCGCGAGACTTCATGACTCCAGCCATGATGGACTTTCTCCCAGCGAGAAACTCTTACTGAGATAGGAGTGCATGCTGAAAGATGTGTCATGCTTTGCTAAACAAATGGCCTTTCTCCGATAAGCACTGAAGACATCATTACAGCATATGCTATTTCTATTTTTTTAATGATTTACAATGTAGCTGTCGCAGCCTTCTAATATATTTTGGCTATTTATGCTGGGTTCTCAACCACAGAGGAGACCCTTTAGGCCAGATGGTCTATTTAGGAGTTGTACAAGGTGTATTCAAATAGCACTGCACATTGTAGTGGCTCTTTGGGATATACTGTTGTCCAGAAGGTGTCACATTTAAAATTCTGTACCGAGTGTCTTTAACCCCTTAAATGACCAGAGCCCACCAGGCCCAACGTTTAATTACAGACTTCTATACCTAAGAACAGCTCAACCAGTTTGTACTGAAGTCCCTGTAGTTACTAAATAATAAGCATTAATATGTAATATGCCTGGGATTTTATGGGGTAGCAAATTAGATGTGAAGCAATTCCCATTATTTGTCAATTGTGATAGATTTAACTCCTTGAACCTGAAATCCATTCAGTATAACTATGACTTATTCAGTAATTACTATGAAACTAATATGTAAGTAATATAGCTATGAGAGTGAGGACTGATATGTGGATCCACATATAGGTCCTTAGAGTTTAAGTCCATAAATCTTGATGGACAGTTTGGGATTGATTCAGTTCTGCAGCATTATGTACGGTAAAAGAAGTTGCTATGTGACTCACGTTGGTTTGGAGGCTTCAGCCTGGTCAGTTTGAAGCTTCTGGCCCCCCTCTACCTCCATGGTGCAGTAGACGATGCGGTTGGGTGCAAGAGACTTCAGGCCTTGTACCTCCATGATCACAACCTGAGACCAGAGGATAAATGAGAAGAACAACAACTTAAAGGTGATGAAAGTAAAGAAGATGAGGAACACTTAATATTATAATTCTAGTCCTTCACAGAGAAAAAAACAAATTTACACAAATGTACTTAGTAGCTGATCAGCAGAAACATGTTTGGTGTTTAGCACTAGATCTACGAGGCCAGTGTAGCTAACAAGTAATGGAAGGCTAGCAGTGTGTAAAGAGTTTCTGTTTATCCATTTTAATAGATATCATTATGTTACAAAGTCTCAGAAACCACATTAGCAAGTTTATTTTAAATTACTCAACAACTCGACAGAGTTTGAGAAATGTATATAATGACGTTAATGGGTGGCTCTAAGCTTCCCACAACTATTAAAGCCTATTGTGAGCTACATAAGCCTCGTAGCTCCAGTGCACAACTAAAGAAGCAAATGTCAAGCACCAAACATGTCCTGACTGATCGATTACATTTTTTTGGCTAAGGAAAAAAATTGTGTAAATTTGATTTGTGGCTAAACCACTGCTTTAAATGTACAGGGTCATATAGGGTCAGGGTCCCAAAAATACACACCATACATCTGATTTTAAGACGGTGTGTTTGTTAAGGCCTAATGCAAACACTTTCACATCTAAGATCCCACTCAGCTTCCTTTCCCTTCCATTTTATAGATGCAGTGGACATGGGGGGCCACACCTGTCTGCTTCAGAACCCATCACTCTGCGCAGTCATATTAAAGCAAGCCCCTTACAAATCACCAGTGCGGATGCACAGGGCAGGCAGGGAGATGTGCTCAATGATGCTGTCAGCGCAGAGCTATTGGGGTAGATGAAGGAGCTGTCCATATGGGGCATTCATTACAGCGCTCTATAGCTCTGGGTATGCGGTCAGGCGGTCCCAGAAGCCCCGGTGTGTTAAGGGCCAAGATATGAGGACAGATGTATGAGGTGTTGTTTTGTAGGCTGTCTAAGCTGGTCAGGGTAAACTGAATAGACTTTTTTTGTTCTGTTCTGCACACAGATACATGTATAAAATGATTCTAATACAGTTGTATGCAAAAGTTACATGCAGTTGCATCCAGATCAAATGACATGTTTTGTAGATTTTCTGAGTGAAAATAAATTTAGTGCACAGTTTCTATTTATTTGCATACTAAACAAATAAAACATGCAATGTGCCATCTCTTTTGCACAGGCCACATTTATGTGTTTTTTTAATGTTAAATGAATCAAATTAATGGTAATTGTGCATTAAAATGTGCAGAACTGTGTTCTCTATGAAGGATATGTTATTTTTACTTACAATATCAACAAAACATTTGATATTCTAAGAGCATTTGACATGAAATTTGTAGAAAGCTGCAAAAATGATGACGAATGGAGCTATAGATTAATTAATATCCAGAACAGACCATATCTTGCTGATCAGATAACTATTGTGAATTGTAAATAAATTATCTGTTTACATTTTGACGTCTAGTTTATATCAAATAAACACGTAATTTGACATGTATGTATATTTCAGTCAACACTGCATGTCATTGAATTATTAATATGACAGGTGATTCCAAACTTTGGTTAAACTTTATTTTGAGAGATCTATTTAGATGAAACAAGCACTCAATGGACTCTCAGTAACATGTCAAAAACATATGAGGGTTAGGATTAAGTTTTGGGTTAAGGTTACGGTTAGGATTAGGATTAGGCCCAGGGATAGAGTTAGGATTAAGTTATTTAATTAACATATTAACAATACATCTACTTAATGTAAGTAATGTATCAACAGAACATCTAAGATATTTACTTCAATGTATTCAGATGCTTCACTACTGATCCTTCAGTGCTATGTTGTTGATGTGTTTCTGATAATCTGTTAAGAGTTTATTATTTATCTACAAAGGACCACTCCAAATAAAGTGTTACCCAAACTTTTGACTTGTAGTGCGTATTTATTATGTGCAACTACTTTGTATCTCCATCCATTGTCCATTTTATCAGGTCCACTTACCATACAGATGGATTTCATAGTTCTACAATTACAGATTGTAGTCCATCTCTTTCTCTGCATAATTTGTCCCCCCTTTTAGCCCCCCCCTTCATCGATGGTCCCCCCACGACCACCACTGAGCAATTATTATTTGGGAGGTGACACTGACATGTTGGTAGTGACATGTTAGTGTATGTAGTCCAATGATGCTTCCACTAATATAACTGATGATGTGTAATAATAGCAGTGTATGCAGGTGCCAACAGTGATGGTGTGTGAGTTGAAACTTGCAAAAACTTGCAGTTTTTTCCTACAAAGTCAGGACCTTTTAGTCCTGAAAATGTCTAAAAACACACATACACACACACACACACACACACACACACACACACACACACACACAGACACACACACACACACACACACACACACACAGACACACACACACAGACACACGCACACACACACAGACACACACACACACACACACAGACACACACACACAGCGTGCTTATAAATGCAAAGGTTGCTCTGTCCTCTCTCGCTGCCCTGAATCTGATAAACACAAGGTGACGGGTCCTAAATTCTCTTCGAAATGAAATCCAAATGAAATGTGCCACAAATGCAAAAAACATGGCTTTTGTGATTTGTAATATCTAATGCCAGCATGCAACGGAACACGGTGTTCAGAATGAACAGCTTGTAAATCTAATTCTCAAAAATCCTCAATCTACTTGATGAAGACCGACAGGTGCATCACACAGGCATTTCACCATTGCATCATTAGAGACTGTTTGTAAGCGATTATCGCATCCTTTTTTATCCACAAAATCATTGCTCTGGTATGCATAGACTTAAAAGCCTAGCCAGAAATTGCTGCGGTAAGCAGGCAAGTTTTCACTAATGCACTAAACTAAGACCACACCCAGCACTTCAATACCTCCTCATGCACTAACTTTTACAGTGGCCTCCTATGTAGATGTACCAGCCTCTCCTTAAGTAAACCACAGCTAGTCCTTTGAGGATTGCATATATTCCCTGATCTAAAACTTAGAGCACATGCCTGCAGGTTGAAACGTTTTATACACTGTAAAATATGCAACATTTTTATGGAAAGCAATTTAAATGAGGTAATTAGTTTAGTCAATTCAATTAACTTCTTCATACAGAATAATTTAAGGAAGCAGTTTGACCAAAAATCAAATTTACACAGTTTGTTCCATTCCCTGCTTATAGACCTGACATATTTGTGTCTCAAGTTTGCTTCTTTAATTTCATCCTAGAACTACGTGGCTAATGTTGCTAACAAGTAATTATTGCCACCAGTACAGTACAGACACAACACCCAGTACAGACAACACTTAAACCAGCTGCTACTTTTAGCTCTGCAACAAACTTTTGTTTTTTTATACACTCTTAAAAATGATAGTTCTTCAAGGGTTCTTTAGTAAAGAAAATGGTTCTATATAGAAACCATGAACACTTTGCATGATTAAAAGGTTCTTTGCATTGCTAAATGTTTCTTCAGATTGATGGAGAATGTGCTTTATAAAAAGGGTTCTATATAGCAGCAGAAAGGGTTATTCTATTGTGATGATGTCAAGCCTGTAACAATAGAAGAACCCTTTTTGGTGCTATGTAGAACACTTTTCATAATAGAACCATACAAAACACATCCTCCATCGATCTAAAGAACCGTTTCATGATGCAAATTGCAAAGCTAATTGCAAAGGGGACAATTTCTTGCAATGTCCAGCAGAAAACTGGCTAATCAGAAAATGTTTTCGTCTGTGATATCTAGGCAGGTATATCTAAGCGAGCTCTCCTATTGGTTATAACTTAAAGAGCTGAAGAGAAGGCCAAACATGTAGATTACCCATCAGCATGATTCCGAAGTAACAGAGCAATCAACCAATCACAGTCTGATTTCTAATAAGTGGGACTGACTTCCTGAGAAAAAAATATTACTCTAGACCATCTGAAAGTCTAACAATCAAATCATACTAATATAAAACTGATAGATAAAAATCTCCATGCTGAAGAAGGGAGAGCCCAAACCTCTCCTTCACAGGCCAGTTTCAGTTTTTGGTCAGAAACAGCTGAGAGTTTTACATTATTTTATTCATAAAGATTGTATTTTTTTCATCAAGCATAAGTGGCTATGGTTTGTTTAGAGCAAAGGGAGGTGGGGATAGTGACAGGCCTTTTAAATAATGTTACTTCTAACTCTTTTAATACACAAAGAACTGAAAGGATGACTGAATTTTCCCTCATACTTCTACAGTTGGCACAGAGATGTATAAGTTTTGAAAAAAATAATACATAGTGGATGAAGGATGTACAATTTTTCATTTCATTTTTTGAAATTTTTTTTCCCAATTTTTCTCCCCAATTTAAACGTATCCAAATCCACTCACCACCCCCCCATCACACAATACCACCAGGGCTAGGAGGGCGAAAGCTAGCACAGACTTTCTCTGAGACCTTTTGAACTGCTGCTAATGCAACGTCATTGGACAGCTGAACACAGTCAGAGGAAAGCTAACAGACGCCTGAGCTGGCTAGCATCATGCTGAGTGATTGGGGTGGGGGGGTGGGGGGGGGTCATTTTCAGCAATGTCAGTCATTTTCAGCAATGATTAAGTGAGCTAGTCTGTCTTGAACGCAGTACAGAGAAGACTAGCAGTACCTCTAGAGTGAAGGAGAGGACCACATCGGATTTGGACAGCTGGTTCTCATCCTCCTGGCCCATGTCAATGATGGAGGTGTTGTGTCCTCTCTTCAGTTTCTGCAGTTTGAACTCGCCTCCCTTAGACACGGGCATGCTCTCCAGGTTGGCCATGAGCAGATTCACTGATGACTTCAGCTCCTCAATGTACATAGCTTCCATATCCTTTGACATAAACTTGGGGAATTTGCAAGCCTGTGGGTCAGGAAAGAAGGATGAAGGAGAGAAAGAGCAAGGGGGGAGACAGAAAGAAGGAGAAAAGAAAGTTAAAGGAGATGAGAGACATAAGATTGTCATCACTAGTGCCATTCCAAGTAATGTGAGACAGGGGTGCCACCATACCTCCAAAAGTGATGGGGTAAAATTTATTAGTTAAAAAAAAAAAAAAGATACTGGAACAGCTAAAATGTGTTGGTGACACACATAAATGATGCCAGTGGAACAACAAAAACATGCTAGTGGAACAGCTACAATGTACTGATAGCCAGCATATATCAGTCTCCTAAAATTGGCACCCTGTTTGCCACTGCTGGTCCACCCTTGGACCACCGAAATTACTGTCCTGCATACAAAGTCTAACCAGGTTTTAATCTCCTCAAACAGAGTTTAAATGCATATAGACTTTTATTTTGGAAAATAAAATATGACAAATATTACAAACAACTGACAGAAACAATGAATGACTAGGTCTAATATAAAACAATTTTAATGTGTTGTTGCTGACACTGTGCTAGACTGTTTACAGCTGTATAACTGGCTTTATTTATGCTATTGCTGTTAAAAGTATTTGCTAAACTAATTTACAAAGCATCGTGAAAGAAACAAATGAAGGACAAATCAGTAAATTGGACAGTGAGTGGAAAATGAGCACTGAAAAGTGACATATAGTCTAATATTCTGCTTAACCACCAGAGGGCCACCGGAAAACACTGAGCAAAAACCCAGTGGGTCGTTAGCTTTGCTGCCAGCAGGCCAACAGTGGTCCGCTATCCTGTAAAACATGCTAGTAGAACAGCTAAAATGTGCTAAAATGTATTGGCGAAACACCTTAAACATGCTAAAATGTGTTAGTGGAACAACTAAAATGTGCTAGTGGAACAGCTAAAACATGCTAAATGTTATTAGTGAAACAGCTAAAACATACTAAAACATGCTAGTAGAACAGCAAAAATATGCTATTGGAACGGGTAAAACATGCTAGTGGAACAGCTAAAACGTTCTGGTAGAAAAGCTAAAATTTGCTAAACTGTGTTAGTATAACAGCTAAAACATACTACAACATGCTATTAAAGCCCTAATAGTAAGAGGATAGTGGGCCACTGTTGGCCTGCTGATGGCAAAGCTGTTGGTCCGCTGGTGGTTTGCTCAGTGTTTTCTGGGTGGCCCACCAGTGGTTAAGCAGAGTATTAGACAGAATTCCACTTATCATCACTCATTTTCCACTTACAGTGCAGTTTATTTGTTTTCCTTCCTTCCTTTCTTTAGTTTAGTTACTTTTAAATTAGTTTAGTAACTAATTTTAATCTAGCACAGTGTCAGCAAAAACATTTTCTATAAAATCATTTTATATTAGGCCTAGTCACTCACAGTTGTTTGTAATATTTGTCTTAGTGTATTTTCTAAACTTAAGTCTATGTACATTTAAAATCTGTATGAGGAGAATAAAAACTAGTTAGAGCTTGTATGCAGGACAGTAATCTGGGTGGTCCGAGGGTGGACCAGCAGTGGCGAATAGTCAGTGGGGTGCCAACCTTATCAAGCTAGTGGACAGATATATGCTTGCTATCTGGGAGTTTAAATCTGCTAGTGGAACAGTTAAAACATTTAATTGAAACAGCTAAATCTGGCTATAATGTGTTTGTGGAACAGCTAAATTGTGCTGGTGGACCAGCCAGAACATGATTGTTTTTCTTCATTTTATAATCATCTACAGGTCTGTTCCTATTCCTGGATACATCTAAAATTTATTCAATCAGATTTTTTATGCAGCTTTAATTATTTGAAACTTTGACGGTGCACAGTACTAGCATCATATCAGAGTCATCTGATACTAATGTCTGCACCAAAATCTTCATATAACTATATTTCTGGAAACATAGGTTATATTATTGAAAACTATGACTCCAAACTTTTGAAGGGTAGTATATTCATGAACATTATCTGATCTGTCTTTGCGTCTATATACTAAATAATTTGCAGCGTCTGCAGCGTTTGTCTCTTTGTAGTTAGGATAGAACCTGCAGAGAAAAGGTATGAGTGGGTTTCATAATGAAGACCCAGTGCTGTTTTCTGTTAGAAATCATTGTCAGTCATGCATATCTTTACATATTCTTCCTCCCTGTGTCACTGCATTATTAAACGTGTTTTGATCTTGTAAAGATGAGCTTCAAGTTACAGCAGACGCACAGAATCCACTCTGTCTGCTGGGTATTATTCAAAGCAGCTTTCTACTGAACGCCATCTGATTGTTTCAGGCAGAAGCACTTACTTTTGCTATCTGATCAGCCATCTGAAGGCGCCCGTCCAGTTCTCGTCTGATCTGTGCAGCCTGTTCATCTGGGTTGTCCAGCTATAGGAATAAAGAACAACTGGCTTTAGCAATTTTAGCTGAGTTAGCATAGAAAATGTCTGACTTTGAACAGCGTCAGACGTGAAAGCTAATGGGGACTAGTTAGCATAATATTATTATATAGCAAGCATGCGACTTTTGTTCTTTACTAGCAATTGGGTTTGCATCAATACTTTTTTTTTCTGCTAATAACAATTCCAGTATGTCACATTGATACAGAGTACCAGTCTGACACCAGTGCAGCTTTTTTTTGACTTCCATTTAAAATCAACACACCTTATTGGGTGGAATTGCTTGGGATCATTTGTTCCTGTGTAAAGTAACACAAGGCTGTAACTACATATTTTATCTATATATAAAACAAATAAATATATAAGATAACAAAGAAATTAAGTGCATGACACGGTAGGCTACTGGCTAATGCAGTCACATTAATTGCAATGATTCATCCACTTGGGGAAGGGCTCCGAAGCATGCACATTTCATGCAATTACACATCTCCACCAGAGGTCCAGAGAGAGGTCTCCAATTCCTAAAACATGCATATTGTAGCTTTTGTAACATAAGTATTGCTGCTGATACCAGCCGATTATATCAAATCAGTGCAGCCTTACTAGCAATGCAGGGATTTTTGGAAGTGTTCCACCACCTCAACCTTTGTAGAGGTGATTTAAGATCTAGTGACATCTTCCCACACTTATCCATTCCCCAAGTATAATGTGATGAGCTTTAATCGATCACAATTCCATTAGGAAACTATCAAGGCTTCAACCACCTGAAAATAAAATCAATATGTTAACGCATTTCAATTATTCTCTGCATTTGGGATTAGATCCTGACAAATCACTGCATCGAAACCAGAGAGTGGGGAGAATTGCGAGACCCAAACGTCCTGTTTGTCCAGACACAGACTGAGCCTAGATGTAGACTAAAATGGATTTTCCATCAAGAATATATACGCAAAAGAAACAGGCTTAATCTGTGTCCTGAAAGCCTGTCCAAGGTTTTTTACTGTGGCCTACATGAAGGGAAGATGCATGCCTACATGTGTACACTCACACAACAAGGTAACGTGAGTCCATTTCAGTGCACATGAACTTGTTCCATATTGCTTTCATTCACTCACTGCACTCAGTACAGTTATATTTGTATCCATTAGCATGACCCAGGGCATCAGGTGTAACCTACTAATGCAAATGGGGCCTGGTTTGTACTGCTGTAGATATGTAGGCAACCTTACAGTTTGACTGTCACATTTGAAACACGACCTTATGTCAAAACCTGACAATGACGCACCTCTGTTGTTTTCACACTCACATCTGGCCCCAGCAAAACAGCAGATCTATTTTTATGGCTGTGGGATTGTCTGGATTTTGCCTTGAGTTCTGGTATGTAAGCTATAATGTGTAGATTTTATGATATATGGGTTGCTCAGATGTTCCCTCAGCTCTCCTAGCCCAGATTTGTATTATGCTTCCAGGCCAATAAATCAGCAGGACAAGTATCCTCCTTATATTGAAGGGGCTATTTATGTAGTAACATATCTATTAAGTCCATCATCAATTACTCATGCATGTGTTAACATTGGCATGTGAGGGCCACATTTTTCACAAAAGACATAAGGTCATATGTAAAAGTTTGAAGAGCCCCAGGTCAAATTACATGTTTGGTTGATTCTCTGAAAAAAAATATGCATTTTTTGCTTTTGCTTTATGTTGCGCTACAAGCATTCTGTGCCATTTGTGGTTTTAATCGTTACAGACCTGAAATTGTTCTGCTGGCTTGTAACTCATACTATGTTTAGTCATGCTTAGCAGATTAAAAATTCTCCACAAGGGGGCTGCACAACCTCTGCAGCATTTTCTGCAAATGTTAATGCACAGTTATGTTACATTTGATGAACCCAAAACACTGAAAAAAATGTGTAAAAGCTGGGACACCCTTCATGTGTGAAGTCTCAGGATAGAATAAACTCGTTAGGCATTGACTTGTTGGGCAGCTTAGGCAGGTCAAGAATTGTCAATAAACTCATAATTTCCATGGTCTGAAATGGCATTAAGAAATGGCAGTTAAGAGGAACTGTGGAAATCAAGGCAAGATCTGGAAGACCAAGAAAATTCTCACACAGAACTGCTTGTATGCTGGCCAGAAAGGCAAAGCAAAACCTCCATCTGACAGCAAAGGACCTGCAGGAAGGTTTAGCTGACACTGGAATGGTGAAATTTTGAGTCATCAGAAAAAAAACCTTACTTGTGACCTCATTACAAAAGTCATTATGTGAAGTATGCAAAACAACATCTAGACAGGCCAAATGTATTTTTAAAAAGCGCTGTGGATTTATGAATGAAAAAATGGATCTCTTTGGTCACAAATCACAAAAGATATATAAGAAAGGCACAGCATTTGATGATAAGAACACCTTGCTGATTGTTAAGCATGCTTAAGCATGCCATAATGCTTTGGACTTGTACAGCAGCCAGTGGCATAGGAATACTGAAGATTACAGAAGAATGGATTCCGCCAAATATCAGCAAATTCGGGAAGCAAATGTGTGTCACACAAAAAACTGAAGCTGAAAATAGCCTGGCTTTTACAACAGGACAGTGATCCAAAAATCCACCATGAACTACTTCAAAGAATGCAAGCTGCAGATTTTGGAATGATCCCCTGACTTCAACATCATTAAAAAGTCTGTGGGTAGATCTTAAACATGCTGCACATGCAGGATATTTTAATCTTGCAAGATAGCACAAAAATATTGCAGAAGTAGCGTTCTGCAAGGAACAGAAAGCATTTGCAACCTGTGATATCTGCCAAAGGGGGTGTTGGTAGGGTGTCCAAACCTTTGCACTGAATTTTTTTTATCTACCTAAATAGTTTGCTGCAGAGCTTGTGTTTACTTCTTTTCACAACAAAAACCAACAAAATATGTCATTTGAACAGGGTTGCCAAAATTTGCATACAACTGAATGAATGTAATTGTGTACATGTGGATTCCTGTTCTTAAACCAGAGGCTCAGAAGGTATAATGGACAGTCAGCATCATGGTTGGGTGGACGGCCATCTGTACATGCCGCAGCTCTAGTGTCTCCCTTCCTGTCACCAGCTGGGCTAAGCTCAGCGTTTAAGAAGCCAAACACCTACTCTCTACCCTGAGGATACCCACACACACGTGAGTGCACACACACACACACTCTACGATGTAAGACAGCACACACGTTTGGACGCAGTCGCATTCCTTCCCTCCCTTCTTCTAAAACACACAAGCGAGATGCCAGTGCGTGGGTGTGTGTAAAATCACTTGATGATATTTCACAGTTTTGATAATGGTAAATTATAGAGCACATTCTGCATTTCATGCCTCACACAATAGAACAGGGTGAGTTCACACACTTCTCTAGTGGATCTTCTTTCATAATGTCTAGGATTGGGACTTAATTAAGGATCAGTGCAGGTTGTTGTAACTAAAAAAAAAATCTTTTATGTGCTTTTAATAGTTAACACATATTACATAGTGCCACTGTGTGGTGTGTGTTATTTAAGTGCTATTTTGATGATGATTAATGAACTTAAGAGCTGGAAGGCTGTTTTGAGAGATGTAAAACAGGTGCTCGCCCCATAAACCTGCCGATCTAGAGCCAAAGAATCAGTGATGTAAGAAGATGGAAAAAGTTTTGGAGGAAAAATGCTCAAACGACCCTACTGGAAGAAACACAACATAACAACATGACTCATGACAACATGACAATTTTTTTGTTTTTGTTCAGTCAACCTCTTTCACAAAAAAGTGATGTACAGTACTGTGCCAAAGCCTGTCATCAGCCATCATGTATTCAATTTCCAGTCAAAATGGTAATTAAAGCTGCACTACGTAAGATGTTTTTGTTAAAACAGGAAGAAGTAGCATTACTAAGTCAGAAGACATGTGCTGTGAGTCTATATAGGCCCTAAAAGCCTAAAAAATAATTTGTTTAAAAGTCAGAGGTGTTGGGGTTTTTTGGACCACGTCATACATTTTTACATATAAACATCACATTCACAGGCTCAAAAAGGAGGTCCAGCTCAATGTTTGGCTCTCAAATGCAAAATCACTATACTGATGAAGATATGATGACAACAGCAGACAATTCACATCCTCAGAAGACACATCCTTTACCAAGTTTGAACTGAGTTCTCTTTGAATTCTCTTTCAATGCATTCGTCAGATTAATCGGCTTCATCGGTCTGAAGCATGACTAATGCTACAAAATGTTCTTCTGCATGTTGCATAGAGTTACTTGTTTCCACCAGAGAGGCATCCAAACCCCCATAGTGCAGCTATAGGTACAAGTTATTCATCGTTTAAGAGATTTCCGAGGAGATTAGATATAAGATACACGCTTGCATAGGAACAGCTGAAGTGAAAGGACAATAAGTGAAAAAACAGGATTTTCCAAAACTGTTATACAAAAATTATTAAAAGATTGGGCTCCAAATAATCATGCAAGACCTGGGAAACTGTCCCCATCAGAAAAACAGTACCTAAAGCTTTTATCTTTATGTGTTACTGACCATCTTTCCGTTGTGAGAAAATAACTTGATGCTATGGAAAAGTCTGAAAGGATGTGTAGCTGTCAAGAAACCGTCATTGGCTGTGTTTACATGCAAAGATTTTTGCCTGTCTGACTGAATAAATTCAGATTATAGATCAAGACCAGAATGTGAATGTGTTTGGCATTACTTGGATTATAGCAAAAGATGCAACCAACTTCTAAGACTGATCTTTGGAGGTGTGGAAAAATATCCCTGCAGATTTCTTTGAAAAACTTAAAGCAGGTCTCCTGAAAAGAATTTGAGCTGTCATTAGGGTACAGGGGGGACACTAAATACTGAAAATTCAAATGTTGTATTCAGTTGAAGCTTCAGTGTAAACTTCTATTAAATAAATGAGTTCTGCTTTTTTCCTGATGCTGAAAAATTAATAAACTTCATGATAGTTACGACTGGAAATTAGACTAAAT